CACAAAGTAAGGACGTAGGAGTAAGTAAATGAATGAGATATGAATGAAACAAATAAACGAAAACAAATGAATGAACAAGCCTTGTGGTTGTTCACCAACGGCCGGGAACTGTTGCTGAAGTCTGAGCTGATGGACAACAGTGTCTCGTTGCGTGGCAGCACGTTCTCTTTCGGCACTTTCGCGTTCCTCGGCTCTTTTTTCCCAAATATTATTTGCTGGCGGCGGAGCCACTGGCAACGCTGGTGCACAATTGGGTTGTGGCATCATCTGCATCGATGAAGAATTCATCATGCTCATCGCATCTTCTGCTGCCATCCGACCACCACCACGCATCGCTGTTGCGTTTTGCTGATTACGTCCTCTTCAAAAAAACAATAAGATTACATATTCAAATCCTGAATTTGCACATTATTCACAACGATAAAACGTGATGAGAATACACACGTTCTTCGTGAATGCGCCGCTCATCATTGTATTCCAACAAAGCCATAAAAACTCTTTTTCGATAACGAAGATGGTATGAGAATAATATGAAACTGCAAACATACTGATTTGACTGATTCTGTTTTGCTGACTGTTGTTGTTCATCGATTGTACCACCACTATTTTCGTAGCGTTTTGATCGCTGAGAATGTCCCTGAAAAACCGCGAAATTCAAGAGAACGGATGGAATAACCGTTCAACTATATGATTGCATGTTGCATGGTAACAAAAACAGTACAACAAACAGAAGCACCATTCTTAATGCGTTTCATTCCTTATATGATCATTCATGAATAATCACCGTAATATATCGGCTCTGAACAATGAAACAAACACAAAATGGAGGAAAGCAAAAGTTCAGTCACCTGATTTCTCGTATCACAGAAACGCTTATCCGATGCGCCACTACCTGTAACACTACTGCAACCACTTTGAGGCGTTGTGCTCGCACGCTGGTTGTGTAACGAAGGGCTTGATCTGGACGAGGGTTGACTGCCTTGCTGAGAGGATACCGACTGTGGCATCATTGAAATACCATCCATTTGTTGCGTTTGTTGAGCGTTGGCCGACTGTGACGAGTTTGATGTCATCACATTCCCATTGCTATCCCCGGGCGCAACTCTTTTGATTATCTTTGCAGCAGGTCGCGATAACTTCGTCAATTGCAGTTCTGAAATATCATAAGATCAACATGTGACCAGTCCCCACATAAGTCATAAGCATGAGAGCAGTTATATTCCACTTCAACAGTAAGTCTAGCAAGGGCACACCTCAATATGATGAACACAAAAATACTTCCGGCTCACGAAAGCAGACCACTCCAAACAGTGAATCGAATGAAAACCGATCGAATGACTAGCGAATCACCAAAATGAGATCAGAAGACTGCAGTTGAACAAAGTAATGTGCAAAACGAACCATCCTCTTCATCGTCATCTTGCTGAGTCATTTCATCACCAATCATCATCCGTGACATTTGCTGAGGAAGTTCACCAGACTCCTTGCTCTCCGGTCTTCTCAGCATGCGATATTCGGGTTTCGCACCCACCAAATCAACGTCCTCTCGTCGCACTCCACCACGAACGTCGCCGTAATCCTCTTGTCGACTACCACCCCAACGTTGCGGCGGTGGTACTGCCTTATTATCTTGACGATACATATCGTCCATCATCTGCTAATCAACAAACCACACATTAATACTAAATTCTCACCAGAAAACAGATTAATTTACTGATACACACAACGGTTGGTGAATGGAACGTGATATTCGTCGTATCTGACTGAATTTTAAGGTGATGAAGATAAATTCAATATTGCTGCAAGCTGCATGCAAGTGCCAGCAACATAAACAGAACTACGACGGAAACTTACTCTCTGCTGATCCCAATCGACGTTGGACGCGTCAACTTCATAATTAGCACTGCTACCAGCCATCATACGCACTGATCCGTAACCAGACGGACGAATCATCCCATCCGGATCCATTGACTGCTGCGCTGCAGCTCCTCCCATTGACGAAGGCGCTTGCTGGCGTCTCTTCTGCCTGGATCGCTCAATTGCCGCCTCTCGTTCCAAATTCTGACGTTCGTCATCGCGTTCTCGACCGTACGCATTCTGAAATAATAAGCTTTGAAAAACCTCTTTCGGCACTCAATCTAAACCAACAATGATATCACTATACAGCAGAAACTAGTTTGGTGATGATAACTGTACACGTTCACTTCCATCAATGCAACAATATTTCGTATACCGGTGAAATGTTCTCCATCAAATGTCGTACATCTTGCGGACCAGAAACCATCGGCGCTCCAGTCCACTGGTGAGTCATTTCACGATCCGAGTTTCGATATGGTTGCTGTGGGATTTGCTGCTGAGCATTTTGCCAATCACATTCAACTGCCGCATTTCGCGTTGATTGCGACTCATCGAATCCCATATCTCTGCAAATGAATATCGTTTCAATCCTTGTTCATCGTTCAAAACAACGTTCTATTCGACATGCTTCAAAGCACGACTCTTTCTACAAACGAATGCACACACGATCACACACATACATCTTGATTAGTTACCCACTGAAACAACAATTCTACGCGCGACATCGCAGCCCTCACGACTTTTTAGTTCGTCGCTTGTTTCTGAATACTTCCAGTCTTAATGATGCTTTAATTTCCTCTAACATCTAGTTTGATTACTTTCATTATCTGCAGCACCCACTGACCACCTTCGCAGGATGAACTATCATTAAAACGCATTTGCCGTAACATGCTTCGAAGCGCATAGATGAGCNCCTTCGTCACGCACCCAGTCTAATAAATATATCCGAAAATGCACCAGATAATCATTCCGAACAACCATCTAACATTCAGCAATCAAGTGAATGTGCATGCGTTACAGCTAATCGAGTGAACACTCTAAACGCTTCTTCGAAGCGTTCCTATTCAAACCGGGAATTTTCAGCTTATTGTTAGGCAGAAGATAACAATAAATAAAGAGCGCAATTGGGAGCAAACGCAGATTGGACGATATCTATATATGTATTTATGTACAAACCGATATCGATATGCTAATCCCATCGCATGACTTCTATCCATATCACGCCAATCACTGCAACTTCAAATACCGATCAAGCGAATTTACAATCACTTTTAATCTTATCGCTTCGGTATTTCCAACCTTTCCAATACAATACATAAATAAGCCACATCCTATGCAAGCACGACTCCACTGAAAAATACAGTCACAAATAATCAATCCACAACTGACCGGCCTTCGAAAGACTCTCCTCTTCCGTACTGTGTACTTCGAACGTCGTTACTGCGATTCATTTGACCCATCTGTTGCTGCTGCATCATTACCGGTCCGCCTGATTTTGGTTCAGTTAAAATATGTTAGTCAATTCCATAGATACCATTCAACTTGCAGTCATCCACAAGTTTATGTGTGATATCTCCAGGTGAAATATTCTTATTCATAAACTAAATCGCGATTACTCGCTGAATATTCCGTTATCGGGTCCAAAAGCATTCACAAATACAGAAATGAACGATACATACCGCGTGCATCATCGAAGATGGTATTCTGCGTAGTTCTCTGCTGATAACCTCCGTCTCCAAGCCCATCTTTCTTTTGCTGCATTGCATTTTCCTGTTCGGTGCGACTGACCACAACACCAATATCGCCTGTTGCCATACTTTGAGCAGACATCGACCCTCGCAGTGGTTGCGGTGGTGGGGGCTTAAAGTTTCATTCATTTTCATTGCGCACACTTCAGTTCGGTCTGACATCCTCAACTAATGACGACGTCTCGAGACACCCGAACCTGTCAACCCTCAGTCCAGTTTCGCCACTCTAGCGCACAAG